CTCTTTCCAAAGGGCTGATATTCTACCATTTGTTTTCAGGTTCAAGTTGAAAAGATTAAGAGCCCTGAAGATCATATTAGTGCTGTGCTGGAAAGAGCCAAACCAGAGTACCTCAGAAAGACATACAAAATTGATTCCTGGAAGGATACAGAAGACTTCCTTGAGAAACTTGCTTCTAGAACTGGAAAACTGCTAAAGGTGTGACAACTTTCTGCATTTGCAGGCTGGAAGAGCATGTGGCCTGCTACTAAACATGGGAAATAAGACTGTTTCTGTTGCTTACAGGTAGTAGAAAGGTGGTATGCCCTGCAAATGTGGCCATAAATTGTTACTGGGTTCTTTCAGGGTGGTGAGCCTGACCTGCAAACTGTGAGCAAGATGGTTCTCAATGACTGGCAGAGGGGCAGAATTCCATTCTTTGTGAAGCCACCAAATGCAGAAACAGGTCCCCAGGTGAGAATGTGATGCTCGTGCTTCCTTTTCTCACATATTATTTGGTTTTCCTAATGGTATTCACTGTTGCTTTTCCCAGAGTGCCATGTAACTTGGGCAGTGCATGTCTTGGGCTCTGTCCAAGTCTGGTGATTCAGGTGACACTCACTTGAATTTGGTGAGGACCAGGTAGCAATGCTGTTCACAGAGATGTCTGAGCCATTTTACAATCATCTGACTACCAGGAACGTCAGTAATTACCACATCCTTAGCCTGTCATTGTAGGCTTTTTCCAAAGTGATGAAATGGAGATTGCTCTCAGAGATGGTGGGACAGACTTTGTGGCTAACATATCCATTACGCTCTTTCTTCTAGCCTCCTGTGTTGGAAGTAGCTATGACATCAAGCCAAGATAATAATGAGAAAATCTCCGAGTCAGTAGCATCCAGTGTGGAGCCAGCAGAAGAGAAGAATAATACAGACACTGAAATTAAGCAACTCATGTCACATGTTCGGCAGAACTTTGGGAGGATTAATGTGGCACCTCAGTTCTCAGAAGAAGACCTGATTCCTGTAGATGTGCCAGGCTTTGATGAAACAGACAGTGATTCTTCTGGAGAGGAGGAGCAGGAAGAGGAGAAGGAGGAAAATGAGCAACATCAAGATTCAGTAGAGGGGGAATCACAGCTGGCTGTACCAGGTGCCAAGGAGAGCTCTAAGGCAGTTCTTAAGGCTTTGGAAGAGAAGATTGCAAAATACAAAAAATTTCTGGATAAAGCCAAAGCCAAGAGATTCTCAGCAATAAGGTATATGAATTTATCCAGTGACTCAAATATTTTGCAGTGAGGGGACAGAGTTAATGTGATTCTGCTGTCGTTTCACTCCATGACTTGCTTGACTGGTTCCTCCCATGTTGCCGCACACAAGTTGCCACAGCTCATCTAGTTTAGCCAGAAATATTTGAACTTCAGCTAAGCAGCAGTTTGTTTTTGAAGGATTGTTCCAAGAATGCCTATTTACCAGCATAACTAAAAAAGGTCTCACTTTCAGAAAGCTGCCTCTCAAGCTATGGATTAGAAATCTGTTGGTATTCTGGGTAGCAGTCTTGCATCCTTGGATCTCTCCTTCATGTTGGGTTCTTTCCCGAACAATACTAAGACTAATGTCCTACCTGGATATGTCAGCTGAGTCTCTGTGCGTGTGCAAGGGTATCCTAGCTTATACAACAGGCCCAGTTTTAGCGGAGCTCATCCACCAGCTTTCAGGGGACTAAGATTTCGAGGTTAAGGGTTGTATTTTTTCTGTCTGCACAGTGCACAAGCCCAGTAGCTCCAGAGACAAGATTACTGTAATATTTTTTAGGTGCAAAGGCTGTGGCTTTGCTGCTGACAGGCTACTGGGATCTATCGGAGAGTGATCACTTCTTGGAGATAGTTATGTTTTGTGTTACGACATTCTTTTATTGCTTATTTTATCTTTTGTAGAATCCCTAAGCAGCTGAGTGAAAAATTGTTTGCAAAATCCATGCAGAAGTCCAAAGAACCCAAAGAAACTGAAGACAGAGGTAAAACAAGATTAGTGGGTGTTCTTAATCTACATTTGGAAACCCTGTAAGCAAGACAAGAGAGGGACTTAGGGGGAGAAGTGTTCATTAGCTATTGATTGCAAGTTCTTTTTCCCCTAAAGCTATTTAAATCTTTCCATAGCTAATCTCAGGGCTGCCTGATGACCTTGCTGTAGCCTTTCTGTAGAACATTCGTCTGTAAAATAAGATATATCCCTCTACTAGTGAATGAAGGTAAAGTGAAGACAAATACTGTATTTCTAAAAGGATGGTGCTACAAGCAGATTGCAGTCTGAGCAACTTCCATTCCACATGGTATAATATAACACAGAAGGGAGAGGAAGGGGTTTATGACGTTGTAAAAACACAGTGATACTTCAGGCTATAGGTTTTACTGTGGTGACTTCCAAGAGTCTGTGGCTTCAGTTTCCATAGTAAGTTTCATTAAAGGCAAAATCATGTGGGAGAACACTTTTCTGACAAGACTATGGAATTCTAGGCTTGCATGGAACGTTAAGCAATCTGCTTCTCAAGAGCAGTTTTCATAGTAATAGCGAATGATTCTCTGGTGAGGAACATGGATGTTGTTTTGGTAGAAGCTATTAAAATATGACCAAAGGAATGCTTTGCTGAAGTAGATGAGATGGTGACCCCAGTCTTAGGTTCTGCAAACTGATGGGTTTTTCGGAAGATGCCAAGTATGTAATCTCTGCTGTTTGCAGGCAGCACAGCAAAGAAAAGAAAAAGGAAAGCAGAAGTGGAAGATGATGATGATGATGACCATTTGGGTAAACAGCCTTGCAAGAAACTTACGTCCAAAGAAGTAAGTGTGATTTCTTGTAGTACAACAAATGAGCAGGGTAATAGAGCTGGCTTTTTTTATACATAGATTGCCCACTATCACTTAAGAGCTTTGAGACTGGGCACTAGAGGAGGGAGAGAGTGCAGGGACTGTAGCTGAGGTAGGGCGAATGTGAAGACAGAGTGACTTGCTGCTGACACGTGATGTGACAGTAGCATGTTGCAGCTAAGCTGGATGCATCAAAGCGTCCAGCAGATAACCATGACAGAAGGGGGGTTGAGGGGGAGAATCCTTTGTGGGTAGCTGTTCCGCTTTCAGCGTTAGCTTCCCCGCGGGTGCTGTTGAGAGCAGGGGTGTAAATGCTGGGATATAGGAGAATTTGGAGCTAGATGGGCAGCACTATTTGTTCTTCAAAGAGAGCTGCTGCTGCTATTTTCTGTTCATATTAGTCAAGTCTAAACAATTTTTCTAGAATAACTTAAATACCAAGTGAAATTGTCTGTAGGACCTTGAAAGTGATTTGTAAGCAAACTTGTAGGGCAAGGGCTTTTTGGAGCATTGCTGTGGACTGCTAGGACTGTCAGAGGGGAGCGGAAGACTGAATTCTGTTTATGAATGTTCTGTCACATCTTCTGTTAAAGACTTCTTACGTGACTATGCACATCAGGTTGCTTGTATCTTGTTTACTACTTTTGTAAAGATTAAAGCGTATCTTCCTTTGTGACATTTGAAGAGCATGGGTGGGTGGATTCCATATAGATGTCCATATGTTAACATCAGTAATGTTTTGTTTGAAATTATTTATTGTACTTAAGGCAGGGGGAATGCAAAGTGAACAACATTTGAAAGAATGCAAACAAATTCAAGCTATGGATACTCTGGATTTGCTAATGTGTTTTGTGTGTGTTTGCAGAGAAGACGAGCTGAGAGGCAGCAGCGCTCCAAGAAAGTTGGAGTCCGGTATTATGAAACTCACAACGTGAAAAATAAGAATAAGAACAAGAAAAAAACTGGCTTGGAGGGACAGAGATCAAAGGACAAAAAATACAAACATAAGCAATAACTCCTTATTCTATTAAATTTTACATAAAACAGCTCTAGTATGCAGTTGCTTTTTTTAATATAAAACTTGTAGTTCCCATCAAAGCCTGGTTTGATTTGTCTGTCTTGTTCCCAGGAGTAGCATCTCGCTCTTTGTTTCTGCATCATCTGAAAGTTCTTTATGCAGTTGGAGATCATGGTATTTCCACATCACCATCTAAGGCCAGTAAACACTGTATTGGCAAAACATATCCTGAAGTGTTATTCAGTAGTGGTGGGGTTTTGTGTTGGCGCTTTTTTTTTTTCCCCTGGAAACTAGCTTTATGGAGTTTTTCAGATGACTACGGTGAATTATCTATCCCATGCCTGCTTGGTAGTTACACAGGTACCTCAAGTAAAGATTTAATTTGCTTCCACTGAGAAGTGATGCTTGGAATAGTATCATACCCCTTTATTTCATTAGAAATAACAACAGAGAGCGCTTTGGTACTGCGCATCCTAGGTGACTACTAACGGTTCTGACAAGGGGTTTTGATGCACAATTAACACCAACATGCATGTACTCAAGGAAATACCCTGCAAACACGTCAGAGAATTACCTGCAATTTGATTCTTAATGAATGTGACATATTTATTGTAGACACTTCACATACTGTTTCTGCATTTTCTACAACATTTTCAAAGTAATAATGTTACAGACATGCTTATATATAAAAATGTTTATTAGTTCATTGCTTTGAAGGTCATCTAGCATATTACCAAGAGGCAAGTCCCAGACAGGTTGGCTATTCAAGGAGCTGAATGCCAAGATGGCGTTGAAAGAGGGTGCAGTAATTAATGAAGCTCTTGAATTTCAACTCTTCAAGAAAAAAAGGAAGAAATAATACAAGTATGCTGCCTTCAGTTACTGGTAAGTGAAAATTCAAGATTGTTTTATGAAGACAAATCTTTGTCACTAATTGCAAACTTCTTGCTCTGACAGCTCTTCTGAGTATTGCCCGGAGGAGAGCAAAAAAATCTACTTATTTGGTGCAATGATACTTTTCAAGTTGGGCCTGAAAAACAAATGAGACAGTAAGTCAAATTAGATTCAACCTAAAAAATAAACCCACATTGCTGTAAAGTGATAAATTGTCTGTTAGATACTCAAAGTGAGGAGCTGAGGGATGCTGCAGTACTTCAAGAGAAGCAGACCAGGTTTTTTTTCCCTAGCTATTCCATTCCTTACTACATGTTTTATAAATTAGCTTTTCATTCTTGGCATATACACTTGTTGCATTCTGAGAAGAAAAGAGCTGGCCTTGGTTCCATAAAATGAAAGACTAGCTTTATAATGTAAAGCATTGAAGAGGAAATTAAATAAAAGCTGTTGAAACAGTGGTCTGAATTCTCTGACTTCAGGCTGGACTATGTTAGCTAAATTAAATATTTGGCTCTCTAGCACTTGGAACATGAAGTCTTGACTCTGGGACAAAAGTAGCTGGGAACAGCAAGTTTTTCAGTTACTGAGACAACTTGACACCCAAATTAGTAGATTGATCCGAGAGCTACCCATGCTTAGGGAGCATGTAGCGCATGAAGCTTCCAGGCCTCTTAGATTGTCCTCTTCCTAGAGCTGCCATCAAAATAAACTACAAAAGTGGTATATACACTGCTGTTAGAATACTTGTACTTCAAGGAAGAAACATGGATTCAGTGGCAACACATATTTGATCTAACAGTTACTCCATTTTGTGCCCTAAAACATTTCAAGATGGCCTGAAGATGTTAACGGTTTAGAAAGGAGAAACTGTAGGAACAGTGAATATAAGGAAAGCAGCTAGGTGTAAAGGAAACATTTTTAGCTGTAGCCAGAAACATTTAGCATTGTTTATGGTGACATTTTTTCTTTACTCAAAAGATGTGGGATTTTTTTCCTTTCAGAAGCAAAGTAATGAGCAGAAGCTCTTTTCACCAAAGCGGCATGCACAAAGTTACTCCTGTAATTATGCAGTCCCTGCTGCATAGGTACAGAATTGTTCTTATTAGGTAATGTTTAATGTTAAATGGTGTGTGTTGTTATCAGGGAGTCAACTTCAATGGCCAACAGCAAAGAAACAAAACATCTTAATTTGCCTTCACTAGATTTTCTATTCTGTAGTTGAGAAGGGGTGCTAACTATTACAATGTTAGGAGCAAGTTAGGCAGAAATAGATTCCTGGGCTATCAGTCAAGTTTGAACCCTCTCCATTTGGGGTTCAGCTGCATGCCTCTGCTCTTCTCCATCCGAATATAACAATTTATCATCTTCTGAACTAAATTCTGATCTCTCCCTGGCACATGTGTGTATAACTAGAATTCAGTTAATCTGACCTGCTGTTTGCATCAGGTTTACTAGTAATGACTTAATTGCTGACTAAGCAAGGAAGTAGAGAATGCAAAAGCACTATTTTCCCATTTCATTGAGAATTTAAAGAAAGTGGAACATTAATGCAAATGCATCATAAATGTAACACTTACAAAACTGTAAGGAGAAAGTTATTTTTATATCTTTCTAATTACAAAATGAGAAGTTTTACCATTACTATTTGGAATTGTGTTTTTTTACTAACCTTCAGCTGTTGATTTTTTTGTTTCAGGAACTGAACCTCTTCAATGTGTTTCTTTTCTTGGATCTGTTGACTTTCATTTTTACGTTTTTCAATAGCTTTGCATTTAGCTTTCTCTTCACTCACTTGCTTTTCCAACTCCTGCTTTTCCTTTTCTAGCTCTGCAATCTTGGAAAAGAGTACAGATTTTTGAAGTTTTGTGTGTTAATAATCAATTTTCAGTTAAGATGGGACAAAGTTGTATGTGGTACAGTCTTTAAAGCATTCCAGATATCATAGCACATAATTTATGAAGTGCAGTTAAGCCCTAGGAAAACAAGAAGACAGTATTTTGATGATCTTTACTGCCATCCAGTGGAAATAGAAATAACATTGCTTATAAAATTTTCTATGTAACATCCTTATGCTGTATCACAAGCAGAAAACTACATTATGGGGTTAACAGCCTAACTTACTCTTTTTTCCATGTCAGATTTGCCTTGCTCAGCTTGTAGTGCCTTCCGCATGCCAAACGCAACACTGCTCTCATACAACGTCTGATAAGCAGCAATTGTCATTTGGATTTCATCCCTGACTCGAAGCAGCAACAGTCCTTGCTCTGCACAGTTAACTGTGGTTTCACGGATCAATTCATCTTTAAAGAAAGGGTACAACAATCTAGTTAGAGTAGCTACTGTACATCTATCTGGGAATGCTGGATACACACAGGGTCCAAAGCTTGTTATCTTTTTGCCTGTTCTCTGCACCAGAAAAACGACATGAGCTTACTAGAGGTAGTTGTAATTTTTTCGTTGTTGTTACATTACAGCTATAGCATCAAGTGCTAGCAAATAAAGGCGGAGCGGTGGTACAGAACCTATGGTAACAACAGTGATACTGATACACTAAAGCTGTAACAGCAAACATCTAAAAATTTGTCATGATTTTTTTTTTTTTTGCAGTTATCGGGAAGCTTCCAGAAGAATCCTACTCAAACCAATGGCAAGCTTTTGCATTTGGAAGGCCAGCACCACATCATCAGAGTGTGTAAGAGCGCTTAACGGTTATACACTGGTTTAAGTTATTTTAAATTAACTGTTGGGTTAAGTACAACTAAGAGAACTTTACGCTTGTTTTCATCTTTTACTGTGGTGTATGTGTAGGCATTGCTTTACAATGTGTCTTTTGAGTGTCAGGTTTGTGAATAACAAGACACTGTAAAATGCCACATATAAAAGCTGACCACTTCGGCAGGTGTTAAGGGTCACACCAGAGAGCTGCAGGCTGAAGGGAAGGCACGTGTAGTGCGGCTGCGGGACGAGCGGAGTCTCTCGCTGCCGGTGGGTGTCAGCCCTGTCCTGGGGGGACTGAGGCTGTGTTAAACCTTCTGGAAGGAGGAGTGCTGATGTGGGGACATAGAGTTGGGAGCCATAGTCCGTCAGGGGGAGGGCAAGGAGCAGGGATTTTTGCGTTTGCCGGTCTCGGCACTGACCGAAGCACTGCGAGTAGAGCTCCCTGCGCACGGGACA